ACACTCCATGCTCTGTGGTGTGTGACTGAGCCACCCGTGTGCTGGGACAGTACTGAACCCCATGCCTGAGCATGCCTGGAAATAACGCTCTGAAGGGACTGGGAGTAGCTTCTGGGGAACCAGCTTGCTTCCACTGCAGTAGAAGCCCACAATGGGCTTTTGGTCCTTGGGTACACTACCAGCCCCCCAGCAAGGCTGCTGTGTGTCATCCCTAGCACTGCCACAGTTCTGCAGTGGCCTTGTGAAGAGCCAAACTGAACTACTGCAAAGAGACAATTCCCAGCTCTAACAGACATTTGCATCCCAGTACATGCTACATAAAATGCCACAAGGACCGTAAAAAAAAAAAAAAAAAAAATATCTTGTAACTGGCACATGAATCTGGTCTAAACTCCACTGTTGCCTCAGTCCTCACACTGACCTTCTGAGCACAGTGCTAGCGAGTAAAACACAGGAGAGCTTATCTCAACACTGTGACAACCCTTAGCCTGGACACCCCATGCCCAAGAGCAGCTCCAAACCTGCCAATACTGCTGCTCACCTCTAATTCCTGTAGGAACAGCAGGCACTGAACTCATCCTCTTATACTCTCAGCAGCAAACTGGCTCTTTGGGTCAGGCTGCAACACACATAAAAATGAAATGCAGGTATTTAGGCTGTGGTGTTGTTCAAACAGTCACTCATCCCCCTAAAGAGGGGGAGCTGATTTTGATAAACCATCTACCTTTCCCTTGTCTTTTCTCACTAGACTTAGGCAAATGCTAGCTCAATACATCTTATCTCAGAGAATAGTAAATAAGCCAAATGGATGATCATCCAATTCAAAAGCTAAGAACAGTTTCTCTTTAACAACTGGAGAAAGGTTGGAAGTATCTACATTATTTTGAAGCAGTTCTTCAGGTTGGATGTGCAACTCTGGTCCAGTAGAGAAAATGGGGTTTAACTCCCTGGTTTAAGGGGTGGCATTCTTCAGTCTGACTCGATATTGGAACAATTCACCAGCATAACATTAGCGCACTCTAAGTAGCATGATCTCCAAATGGCAAGAGCAGGATCCATCAGCTGAAGTAACCTTTACAATATGATGTATATGGCGTCTGCCAACGCAGGTAAAGCAGAAACATTCTCACAAAAGCTTTAAGGAGCATCCATTATCATCGCAGCACACACTTAATGAAATCTGAAGTTTTACACTTGAGGCAGAGCTTGCAGAAAACGATCTATCTTTAAAGAGCTGGAGAAACCTAAACAAAAAGGCAGATAACAGCATTTTATAAATACAATGTATCTAGTCATTAACAGCAAAACATTTACTCTTTTAAGCTGTAGTATTACTGTAGCAGTAAATGGAACACAGTACTGCATGTTGTGAGCTTAAAGCACAGTATAAAAGACAAAGCCATACTGTCCATGCTAAAGAGTGTTACAGATAGTGTAACACCTTGAGAACATAAGTTATTGGAAAAACAAAGAAAATACTACATACCCTATACTGCTAAAGTATTTGTCAAAGAGAAAATGAAGTAGTTGAGCCCATCTTTCCTAACCCCTCACACAATTTTCACCTAAATGTTGTTATTAATTCATAAATTACATTTTTCCTCTCAATTCTAATTAACCTGCTGTATCTTAAGTGTCCCACTAGGTTTTATTTCCTTTAGAAAGCAAGCAGATACATTCAAAGTTACAGACATTTAACTGGGCTCCAAAGAGCCACATTTATTTTTCCTGTTTAAGACAGAAATTTTCTTTTAGCAAAAAGGCAGGTGGTGTGGAATTCTACCATATAACCCACTATCGGGTTTTCAAGCAACATTCACTTTCCACAGATGAATTTCCTCCCATTTCGGAGTTAGAGCTCATCACACCTAAAAACCATGATTAAAGGCAGTGTCTCTCTTTAATATTGATCTTTGTATCCCAGGAAACCAATGTTTTGCTCCATAGAGAAGCTACTTAATTCACTTTCTGTATTTTACATGTCACAAAGAGTTTTTAAATTAGAATGAGTGATTATGAATGCACTGAGTATATACACTCCTTATTAGAGACTTATTTACAACAGAGACAACTGCAGAGCACCTAAATACCAACTATCTAGAAGACCAGAATAGAATAGAATCGCTTAGGTTGGAGAAGACCTTTAAGATGATAGAGTCCAACCGTTAACCTAGCACTGCCAAGTCCATCACTAAACCATGGCCCTAAGCACCACATCTACACAGCTTCTAAATACCTTCAGGGATGGGGACTCAACCACTTCCCTGGGCAGCCTGTTCCAATGCTTGACC